CAATATAGATGTAGTACCTGCATTTCTACAATAGCATGGAGTACGTGCAACACTTGTTTGATCCCAACGTTAATGCTGAAGATATCACATTCATACCCAAGAGAAAGGCTCATCCACCTTTGGAGCTTAAAGATTATATTAGAAGAAATAGGTTGAAGTATATTTTATTAACTAGTCTATTTTGTTTAACTAATTTGTTTTCTTTAATTAATTGGCCCATAAACTTTTATTTTAATTCCAGTGCTACTTAACATCTAAGAAAACTTGTTATAAAAAATACTTACACTTTAGTACATAAACTATTTTCTGTTTTTATCAATAATTATTTGAGAATGTGACAACAGTCACTATCTAACATGGAGATGTCATAAATAATCTAGCGAAGATTGTGACAATTATCCATTATCAATTTTCCCCCACAGCTTGTTGAATTGTAAAGTAGATGAAGATCAATTATATATTTTTTCTTTTAATAAACACGTATAAAATTATATAGAGAATACGTCAAAGAGGCTTTAGTCATGTATTTAGTTATTACGTATATGTTGTATGAATATTGTGTACTAAAAAGTTGATTAAAAGGAATGCATACATTGCATTATTACTGTTTCCTTTGTCCGCTTCACTGCTATATCATTGTTCTTGTTTCTTCTTGTCTCTCCAAGTCCCTAATTCATGATGTGTGCTATCCTTCGATGTTATCTTGATGATCTTCAAACCCTTTTCCTATTTTTGAAATATTTGTTCTAGCTAAACCAAGATTATGTATCCATATCTTCTGTTGTTTTATTGAAATGTGAAAAATGCAATAATAAGAAAAATGATATATCCTACTATAACATAAGAAAAGTAATCTCTATCACAAAATAATCATGATATTTTATTTGTAAATGATTTATTTACAAATGTCAAGTGTCACTTATAACAAAAAAAATGATAATGAAATTGAAAAGGAGTCCAAACCAAAAGAGAAAGTAACCCAAATAACTGATTTAGTTAAACTTATCCATAATGGTTAATTTTCTATTTTCTACCCTGCTTATTAAAAGGATTTATGATATAGAGATTGTACCCACTTTAATCTCCTTTTTTCTCATGTGATTAATCACAAACTTCTAAGTTTTATCATGGAAATTATGTCTAAATGAATCTTAAGAATTTATATTTTTCGCATAATAAGAATAATTATAGATTAATATTTATTGCGATACGATCCTCCTATAAATGTTATGTGTTGTTCTTCATTAATAGAAAAACTCTTCTATCTCTTTCCATTTCTTTCTATGATATTCCTTTAGAGACAATCTTTATAGACAAAAATAAAGACAATGTTTCATGTCCTTTTCTAATAAGTATAGTCCTTCAATCAAATACTATATATAGATTTTTTTCCTAGAGTCTTGTCATTTCATTCATAATTATTCATTCTAAGAAGGCATTTACGTATATTCATGTAACATGAGGCATTTTGACATGAATGTTTTCATCCATTCGGGACATGATTTGAAACATAATTTTCAATAATAAATCATTGTTCATGAGAGAATGAGGAAGAAACATTCATTTCTTTCTATTATTTTTCTATACAACCAAACAACACTACAATTCACTCTATTTCTCATCTTTTTCTCATCTCTTTCTCTCTTTTCATTATCTTGCTCACATATTTCTCTCTTCTTATTTTCTCTTTCCATTTGAAGGAAGCCTAACGCTCTCCGTTTAAAAGCTATTTTTTCGAAATGTTTAAAAGTTTACCGAAAACAAGTTATAATCAAAATGAAATTTTTCTGTTATGTTAACAATTAGTATAAAATGTTTTTGCTAATGTTATCAACATCACTAGTACAATCCTCTTTTTTAATATACTCGTTACTGAAAATTAAAATTAAGCTTTTAAAACATTTAAGAACTAAGATCTAAGAATAAAGTCATAACTCTATGAATTTTCCGAAAGTCCAAGTTGTCTTCAAAGAGACTAAGAGACAAACCTCTGTTTAATTCATAACATAAAAAAATAAATTCATTTTTTTAATTAAAATTTCATCTCAAAACCAAGTGTTAATGAGAGGGGTAGACCAACAGATATTTAAATTATTCTCGAGACAACGAGGTAGGCTGTGTGAGACTTACTTCCGAACATGCGCTCTCCACATAAGTCTGTCGGACCAGATGAATGATTACTTTTGAGTCATAACTAAAGGGCATCTTTTGGCTCATGACAACCAGAAAGAAGTTGAGCTTTGACTCTGATATCATGTTGAAGTTCCATCTCAAAACCAATTGTCAATGAGAGGAGTAACCCAACATGTATTTAAATCATTCCCAAGACAATAAGGTAGGCGATGTGGGACTTACTTCCTAACATTTTTTGAAATTTACGTTGAATAAAAAATATAATCTTTCTATTTTACCCAAAAAAAACTAAAAATATACTATATCAAATACATACTTAACACAAAACAAAATTTTCAAAATTATTAATAATTTAATTTTTTTAATATAACCAATTGTATCCTATCATTTTATGAATAAAATTAATTAATTTATTTTGGATATGTGTGATTATTCCTTCCTATAAATATTACTTAAAAATATGGAATACTGAGGAGAATGGGATACATTGAGGGCAAAGTGAAAATGTATTAGGGGTGAGCGTGGGTAGGGTTGTGACGGGTTAAGGTTTGTCCTTACCCGACCCTAAATGTTGTTCGGACCGTTTTTCTGAACCCGGACCTAGATCCGGAGTTAACCCGACCCTAAATATTCACAAGGTCAATCTTTAAACTCGGTCCCGACCCTAGACCCGATTTAATATAACATATACTCATTTTACATAAAGTCTTTTAAATATTATTTATTATAGTGAATATGTAATTTGACATATAAAATAATATATTGTGTATATATATTATTAAACATGTATATATGATGAAAAATTAGAGAATCAATGATATTTTCGACCAAAAAAGCATCATTACTCTATATATTTGAATAGACACACATACAAATATCATGAATTGATCATGAGAAAGGTTGAGACGAGTCATGTTTGGTCTCTATCCGACCCTAAATATTGACAGAGTTTACTTTTTGAACTTGACCCCGACAATAGACCTGATAAGGTCTGACCCTTTTTAGACTCAATCATGATCAGATCATACCGGATAAACAGATAGAGTCGGGTAGTGCTCAAAACAAGTATAATAGTATTTGTAGTAGCCTTAAGAGCAATAGGATATTAGAAACACAAGCTACAAGCCATAAGCTATAAGCTATATAACCCTACAAAATCTCTCCCTCTTTCTCCCGTACCACAGTACTGTCAATACCATTGTCACCTTTCACTGTGCATGATCCAATTCCAATGGCTTCAGCTTGCATCAACAACACCATCCCTATCTCCCAACCTCCCTTCCCCTCATTCTCATGGCTCTCCCCCAAACCCTCCCTTTCCGACAACCACTCCTCCCCTAACCACTCACCGGAAAACGCCCCAGATCTCCACTCCTCCGCCGCAGACTTCGAGTTCTGTCTTGAAGATCCCGTCACTATGCTCCCCGCTGATGAGCTCTTCTCCGACGGAAAGCTCCTCCCTCTCCATTTCCACCTCTCAAACCCTTTCAATCCATCCAACACTACTACCCAGTCCCCTTCGCCGGAGGAAAATTCAACTCCGGCAACTGCACCGGTGGAGCCATTCTTGTTCTCTCCCAAAGCTCCAAGATGTTCCAGCCGCTGGAGAGAGCTCTTAGGACTCAGGAAGAAGCAGCTTTCCAATAACACTAACTCTGAGCAACAGAAAACAACGTCGTTGTCTTCTTCAACCAAATCAATAAAGCAATTCCTACACCACCGTAGCTCCAAAACGACATCGTCTGAAAACACTTCCCTCACTCTCCCACTGTTAAAAGATTCAGACTTTGAATCCATTTCAATCTCATCTCGTCTCTCACTATCATCTTCATCTTCCTCAGGTCACGACCACGAAGATCTCCCTAGACTCTCACTCGATGCAGAAAAACCCGCAATAATCTCGAACCCAGTTCAGATTTCCCTCCACCGAAACCCCAACGCGCATCCAAGGATGAGGTTCGTGAAGAACAGAGAAGGTTCAATGTACAAAACCAACAAACATAACCCAACTCGAAAAGTTGAATCGTGTGTGGTTGAGAGTAGGGGAGTTACGGTGGATAGTCCAAGAATGAACTCTTCAGGGAAGATAGTGTTTCAGAGCTTAGAACGAAGCTCGAGTAGCCCAAGTAGCTTCAATGGTGGACCCCGCTTTAAGCATAGAGAAATTGAACGTTCTTATTCCGCTAACGTTAGGGTCACTCCGGTTCTTAACGTCCCGATTTGTTCCTTGATGGGATCTTCAAAATCCGGTTCGGTTTTTGGGCTTGGACCGTTTTTCTCATCTTCCTCGCCGCAGAAGAAAGAAGGTGCCGGTGCTGGTGGTGGAAGTGGAAACAACAGGCACCGTTACAATCGGAACTAACAAAAAAAGCCACCGTAACAGAAAACGGTAACGGTGACACTTAGGTTGCATTTTCCTATTTGCCTTTTCCACTTCAAAAGTTATGTTCTTGTTTTTAATATCAAAGCAAAAAAACGTTGCAGGAAATTGTTGGTTAATTGGGGTTTGAGGGTTAATTTTTGCTCTTATGTAACTTTTTAAAAAACTATGCTTTAGATAATGTAAATACATGAGTGTAATTTCTTGCTTCAGGTGATGATCATTATTATCTATATTGCTTAAGCTTTTCAGTGTAATTGCTGTAGTTGTTGTTTGTTATTTTCTGACCCAGAAACATATGGAATCTAGTAACTTTTTCACCTTTACTGCTTTTATTTAATTTTAATTTTAATAATGGTTAAATATTATCTATAGAGTGAAGTAACAGTAGAGTCACGTTGAGCTTATCTTCTCTGTCTGCTACTGCTTATAAATTTTTATAGATTAATTTTTAATTGATTATTCTAATTTGTGTGAACTGGGTAGTTTTGGGAAGTGATGCCAAAGACTCAAACAGAGAAGCCAGCTCTGCAGAATCGATTATTTATTTGCACGTCAGTCTGATCCCAAAACTTAATGTCTGCTAGAGTACTATTTTAATTTTTTATCTCTCTTTTGGATTTAAACTCGAATGATTTATTTTGGCTAAATGACAAAAAATCCTTCTCATTTTAATAAATTCGTACATATATTATAATATTTATCATGTGGCGTTAATGGGAGCATTACTCTCTTTGTCTCTCTGCTCAGTGGTCCATACAAAACTCACCTGTGCTTGTTAATGTGTGATCCTTTGTTAAGATTCAATTGGGTGGGACAAGCTTCTCTTCTTTATAATAAAAAATGTACACTTCGGTTGGGAACATGCCATGAGTTTCCCATAACGGAATCAACACCTTTCAATGACTAATTTAACATCATTTCAATCACTATTAAGTTTCCTCTTACTATGTGTATCTAGGTTTTAGTGGATTGGCACAAATTTGGTTATCTTTGACCACACATTTAGTGGGAAAAATCTCTTTGCTTCGTCCTATTGAAGTGAAAAGATATCTGACAAAGATTATCACAGTGGGACTCAACAACCCCTAATTGGAAATGGTAGGTCCATTTCCTCTATCAAGCAATTGAATTAAATGAAATGCTCAAAAGTTCAATGCCTTTTTACCCTTTTTCTTTCTTCTATACTGAATTTTATTACCAATTTTATTCAAAGAAAAATAATATATTATCATACTAAATTCTCTTACTAATCCTCCTACCGATAAAAAAGTGACATATGTCACTTGTAAACCAATCACTAATAAATAAAGTATCACTTTGTAACATATTTTATTTTTTTGTGAGTATGATGATTAATATGAAGATTTAGTAAGATGATATAACATTACTCATGTGCCATTCCATTTTGCAAACAACTTTTTAAGTTTTTTTTAACACACGAGTTTATCAAATTACTTCAACAACCAAATAAATTAACCAATTATGATAACAAATTTATCATTTTCTCTTCACTTTTGCATACCCGGATCTTACCTACCATAAAAGCACAGCTCCATGTGAGAGAAAAAAGAGGAATCATGTTCGTTTGCATCACTGTAAAAAGTGAGGAGAGAAGTTGTGGGAGTCAAATCGGAAACATGACAGCAATTTCTTGAATCAAATAGGAACGTTGCTATTGAAAATAAAATATAGTAATTCTACCTAAATATGATAAATTAACATTCAAGTCTACAGGGTAATGTATACGAATTAATTTATGATTTAGCTTTAAACAATAGAGCCCCAAAATTTAACTAAACCAGACAGGCTCTGCAGCAAAAAACAACTCTGCAGCCATGTCATGGCTTCCTACTCATTTTCACTTAAACGCTGTTTTGAAGCTCGGACTTTGATGTATATAAGATTATATGATATGATGGGTCATGTGTTTGACCAGTCTTAATTGGCACCAACTTTGTCCCTATATAGTTTGGGCTTTGTGCCACCTTGAAATTAAATCCTCCTTTTCCCACTTCTTTATGCTAGGATTTGGGGTGTCCCTCATCAGTACAATACACATTAGTTAGTTCTCCCAAAAACTTTGTTTTATTTGATCATAATTTTACACATAATATAAAATAATATTTAAATTTAAACTTTGTTTTCGATTTCTTATTTTTTAATAAATGTTAAAATCTGATTTGATGGAACAAGTTTGAGACATGGTAAGATTAGTTTACCAAAATGAACAAAAATGATTCCTAAAATCCAAATAAATACTGAAATTTAGGCATTAATCATTCGCATTGGGTTATCTCTAGTACCGGAGAGGTTAGTATTAGGTTCAGATCATGACATATAACATTCAAAAAAGTTCAAATGTTCAGATTTAATTTTATTTTTAAATTAAATAAATAATAGAAAAATATTCATCTCTTTACACTATAATTCTCATTCTTAATTTCTAATAATCCCTCCTCTAAGTTTAGCTGTTTTATTAGTCAGCTCAAAATAACTATCATTACTTTCTATTCACTTTACATTAGTTCATGTCTTTATTGGGAGTTAAATCAGCTGAAAAGCAACCTCAGCTTAATTAAGCAGGCCCAATAAAATATTCAATGGTTATTTAATGCATGCTTTTGCTCATCTGATTTTATGTGTTTCCTTTTACAAACAAAACAAAACAAAAAACACTTGGTTGAAGTAATAAAGAGAGAGAGCCAGCAAAAGGGTAGGGGTATTTTAGGGCATTAAAGAAAGAACGTGCTTATGGACCCTCTGCATAGATTCCCCATCCTCCAATCCCTTGAACCCTATCCATATGCATCTCCCCATCTCTTAAGTATAGTGAGTGAGTCATTGCACAAAATGAATCAGAACTAATATTCATTAATGGAGAGGATCCTTATTCATAAAATGTTCCGGAAAATATTCCGGTTGTAATCTTACACTACATTGCAATGACCCTTTACAAAGATCCAAGGCCAAATGCATTTATGGATGCTTTAAGAGTAGAATAAATAATGGTACTTTTATGAAGTACAATAGTACATTGTGGGGCTTGTGAACTTGTGGTGGTCACATCACAGTATCTATATGAGCTGGGTTGGAAGGGTAATATAATTTGTTCTTGTTAGGTTGAAGTATGCAGTAATAAGTTATGATGAATCCTTGCCTCTTTGGAATGTAGTACTATCCCATAGATAATATCTTAGCTTTCATCATTTTATTACTTTATCGACTTTACAATGACATGTTCCACATGAGAGAGTCATTTTCAACTGAATCTCAACCGTTATTATATGGTTCTTGATCTTTATTCACCACATATCACTTTTTCATTTCGTTACACTGAAAATTTTGTAAGTTGTAATAGTACTATACAAATTAATGTATCTCGTATCTAAATGATTTGTGTATAATGCAACTAAGATTTCAACCTTAGGTAAGTATAATGCAAATATATGTGTAAGTTTTATTTTAATTATTCGTTTTTTTCCTTAGATTTTAATTTTTTTAGTCTTTGTCGATAATAGTCAAAATTATATATAATTGATCATATTATTACTATAAATTAAAATCATAAGTTTGAGATATATTAGGACTAAAACCAAAAAAAATTGTAGGGATCAAAACACTACGCCAAAATTCACATTTAACAGCAGCCATTTAACCGTACTTACTAGCACAATACTGTTAAATACTAGGCGGAAGATAATAAACAATGCTCTTTTAAGCTAACGTTATTAAATGTGATCAATTATTTATAGAGGAAGTTATATTTAAGCATTTTTTTAAATAAAATATGAGAATCATGTGTGATGAATTTTAACTTTTTATATATATTAAGCTCACATAATCTATACATAGATCTGTTTTATACACATAATAAGGGTCAGTTTAGATGATCATATTTTTCCTATAACAAGAGAGGGTCCTGATTCTTCTTTTTCTCCATCTCATGATATAGCAATAGTCCAAGGCATGAATCATAGGCCAAATGCTTCAAGCAATCAAATTTGGTGATAGCTGGGAAATTTTTTGCATGTGTCACCAAATCTCGTTTGAATCTTTTGCTTTCATACTCATTTATAGCACAAGTTGTTTATGTCACTTCTATGTACCACCAATTACAAACTCACATTTATGTTTTGTTAACTTTTGGTTAGTTATTAGGTGCAACTTTAATTGACGTGTCAATTTGTAATTTGTGACATAAGTTGCATAGAGAAGTGACATAGACAATTTGTGCTCACTCATTTACTACCTTCATACATCATCATCTGGCACGTGGTAGACCCAAGATGTAACTGTGTTCCACTATTCTGAATTCATGAAAATAAAGAGGGTTTATCTTTTCTAACATTTACCAATTAACAAAGCATGATATTTTAATGGTTTGCAAATTCTAAGAAAATGCCACAGGAATTACAAATTCCCAACTATATAACTTATGACACGATCACTTGTATAATATATCATACTCCCATATCATTTTAAACATATTTCATTTAAGAATTTACTTGTTAATAAAATGAATACTTTAACTTGTTGAGATTCTAAACACACCGACTAGTGATATTAATGAAATACAAAATATAAATACCAGCTGTCCCATGATGTCTCCAACTATGTCCCGACCAATTACATACTGCTATATTATTTAAAAAATCAACCTCACTCTTACACTAAAAATTATATTTATTCCTTATATTATTCATGGCAATATGTAATTGGTCGGGATAGGGTTGAAGATACCAACTTGGACAGATAATCTCCATCTATAACTAGATGTAAATTTCGAAGTCTTAACTGCCACCATGCAAGTATATGTCTCTAACATGAGTCCAATTTTCTCTCCCTAAGAATTCTATTCATACGATGATGTGGAACATATGCAACCAATATATGAGGACAAAGAAGGTGGATCAAATTATCATACCCTGCCTATTTATCCGCAAACCTTCTTAGTTCTGTCGTTGTCTTTTCTTAATTATTACATGCAAGACAACAAAGGGAGTTAAGAGCATATTCATATAGATATTATTTAATGTAAAAGCTAAAATGGGATTCTTATAGTAGTCCATAATTGGCATATAAAATTTGTTATAAGTGAAATTATAGATTTAGTTTTAAGTAGATAATATTCTGAACGTTGTTGTATAATAATCAACTATACATTATTTTCGGTGTTTAGAAGCAAAAATAGTGAGAGAGATTCAGATGGGATAATTGAAGGGTGGTGTGGAATGGAGATAGTCAAATTCAAACCGGTAACACTATCTGGTCAGATTAGAGGACAGAATAATGTCATATATATATATATATACACACATATATATATATATATAATTAATAAATCAATATGAGTTATTAAAATAAATAATTTGCATCATATTTTACATAATTCATACATCTAGATCACTTTAAATGTAATCTCTTTCTTTAATATAGTTTGGACGGTTGGATCTAATCACTATGGATTATTCAAGTTTAACCAGAATAATTTTTTAATATCGTTTGGACCAGAACTCCTGCATGTATATGGTTACAGTTGGACTAGTCAGATTGTCTGTGCTTAATATCCAAAGTTACCCATGACCATGAGTTGAAAAAATTCCACATGTCATCTTAGGAGAGGCTACTAGTACCATATACACTTAAAATAGAGTAATTAAGTTATAAGTTTTGTCCTTAAATATTTGGTTAGGACACACTTTAAATTAATGTTGTTAAACCTGAGTCGTACATCAAATCATAAAAGATTTCGTATTCGGTTTATCCGGTTTAAATATTAAATCATTCGGTCGATCCAGATGAATTTAAATATAATTAATCATGTTTATCTATAAATATATAATTATATATAAATGTAAAATTTTATATAATTAATAATCATATATAATAATATTGAAGTAACATCTCTCCATTTTTTGGACCGATGCAAAACAAAGCATTGGATAATGTTTCACCTTTTTAAATTTTAACTAAACCGTTTGGTTCACTCCTCGAGTTATTTCGGTTTAACCGAGTTTAGAACGATTGAACCATGAATTTTATCGTTTCAAAGCAGTATAACCATTCATCAATTAAGACTGCAAACTAGGAACATTTTCAAGTACAGTTAGCAATCGGATCGTCCGATCCAGTTCTCACAGCAATACTTTAAATATCACATTCTAAAAATATAATTTATATCAATCACGTAATAACTTTACACTTACGTCGGTTGCAATATTTGGGCCTGCCCAATCAAATGTACCCAATGTGCTCTCAAATAATTTTCAGCCCGATCCATGAGGGTTCGCAATTCATCAAGCGAAGTACTATAAATTCCAAAGGGGTTTTTTAAGCCGATTCTCATAACTAAAACTCCAAACCCTAGCGATAACAAAAACTTTCGCCATCCAAAATGAGAGCTAAGGTATTTCCCACACAACATCCTTCATTTCATTTATTTGTCATAGTTTTCATGTTGAATTGTTTTTTATCTATTAATATTTTTAAGGATCATGATGCACTTCGATTTTGACAGTTTTGTGTGGATCTATATCATTGTTTATAATTCTTAGAAATTATTATATGGATTGTTAATTCATTTATTGTGAATGGTTTTGGACAATATTTGTTGTGCGCTTACTTTTTTTTTGCAGTTTTAATTTTGATGAACTTTGATGTTTTAGAGTAATATACATCATATCGGATTATCTTCTCTGTTTGATATTGTTTCTCAATTTTCAAATTACTTTTTAAGTGTTTCTTATTTCTATAAACTGTGAAATTTCGGGAAATGATGATATAGATTCAAACATAGGCGTAAGCCCTGCTGAATTTGTTTTATTTGCACGTCAGTCTGATCCCAATAAATTATATCGGATACAATTTTTTTTTATTATCCTTTTTTAATTGTAACTACATGTGTGAACTTATTGGAAGATATTTCTTGAGATTTTTTTGTAAATTATTTTAGTCTTTGAATTTTTATGAACTATTATGTTTGACATCAAAGAATGCTGTTTTTCCTCCTACTAGTTTCATTTGTTTAATTTAATTGTGGGATATGATATTTACAGTTGATAATAGTATTATCATGTTGAGCATGTCTTTTCTCTCTGCTACTGATTTTTTTCATCATTTATATTATTTCTTATTTGTTTGGTCTGTGAATTTTTGGGAAACGATGCTATAAATTCAAACAGAGGCAGTAGCTCTGCTGAATTAAATTGTATTTGCACGTCAGTCTGATCCCAAGATTTTCATGTCTACTATTTTAGATTTATTCTCTCGAATTTTAACTTGTTTTTTTAAATATACTTTTTGTTATAAATTTTGGGAAAAGATTTTTTGATTGGTGCTGTACTATATTGGGTGATATTTGATTAACTTTGAATTTGTAGTCTTTAATTTTTTGTCTTGTTTTTCCTTTTTGCGTTTTAGTATCTCTAACATAGTGCTGTTGTTTATCAGTGGAAGAAGAAGCGTATGAGGAGGTTGAAGAGAAAGCGTAGAAAGATGAGACAAAGATCTAAGTAACTGCACTAAGTAACTGCACAACCAAGATGACGTTACCCTGTGCTTTCACCAGGTTCACAACAATTAGGCAATTATGTCTTGATGTTCAATGTCTGGTATCCGGGATAGGATTATCTATTTTTGGTTGATGAATTTCGAACTAAGACTAATGATTATGTTAGGTTTGACCTAATGTACTTTTTGGGTTTTGAAACGTGTTATTTTATAGATGTTGGTATGGATGATATTTTATATAATACTGATTAATACTTGCATTAAAATTTCAACTTGCATGATTTCTGTCCGTTTCTCTTACATATACTTAAACCTATTTCGCGCTATACTGAGAAGACCGGACGCTTTCGTTTTCGTTTACGATGAACCAGATTGAATGATTCAATGAGGTGTATGAGTAGCATTAACATGACTAAAAGTCTGATCAAGCGCGGTGTAATATGTACTTCAAGAGTTTCTAATCCGATTTAAATTTTAACCTCAAACAAATAATTGCATCTCAAGAGCATTTTGCAGTGTATAATTTACTGGCAGCATGTGCTGTGACTATTTTAGTGGTTCACACATTATCACATCAGTTGTTTTTAGTGCCTGTACCCTTTAAGAGAGGGAAAGGTTGCAAGTATATTGATTTGTGTACCAACTATAACTTAAGGATTCGAAACTAGGATTCAGTTGTTAAATTCAGAAGTGGTATTTTTCAAGTATTAAAAGAGAAAAAAAGTGTATTGAGTTTATATATTGATTATTTAAGAAAATTAATTTAAATGAATATGTAGTGATTGTATATAAATTTACTATTTGTGGGTAATTTTATAGGTCCTGAAGGGGTTACTTCAAACATATATTTAATTTTTTTGAATGATCAATATATAAAATAATTTTTCATAAATAATAAAATTTATATACATGTTAAATTATTGTTAATCATTAGAATCAATTATAAAATAGATAATATATAATTATAATATAATAAAAAGTATAGAATAAAATGTTTAATTAAAAAAACAAACTTATAAATATGAGTATACATGCATATACTTATATATTTATAATAAGTTATTTTTCTAGTACCTATACTACCAAAATGGATTTTTTTTAACAAAGTCATTCGTGTATTAACTTTCTTGGGGTGAATGTTATTGATGTCATCCCAATTTTTTAGTCTTACCCAAATATACTTTTTTGAGAAATAGATATGCCTAGATAGGTCTATCATGGGGTACAAAATTTAGTAATAAACACTGTAAAGTGATATATATATATATATATATATATATATATATATATATATTTATTGCCATGGATTACATGCTTTAAAGGGTAAACAATTTTTGCTTAGTAACTTGAAATAGTACCTCTTTTCTAAGGGCTAGTTTGTGAGTGCAGGAGGAGTGAATCAACATTGGATTAATCTGGACAGTCTTGTCTATGCATAATGAGCCAAGGTCACCATATATAATACGCACGTTTATACATAGCTAGAGAACGCTGCAAGGCAATCCTTGAAGACAATAATATACGATTATATTATGAAATAATTTATCTCCTCTATCCACTAAAAGTATGACATACGTAATATTTGTTTAACTTTTAGGAATATTTTTGTTGAAAATGATTAAATAAAACACATGTCATGATTTTAGTGGTCTATAACTCATCTAATTAGTACATTACATGACTGAAAAGCCGTTAGGAAAAGTGCTTCATAATAAGTGTTTCAACTTCCAATTTAAGCCAATATTGCTCTTCCAATAGCGTGGGACATTCACAGTCACAAGGATTTCTAAGTTATCCATAAAACTGTATATGGATGAGAACAAAACTTAGGCATTTTTCTATAGATGTTTATGATGCCGTTTTCCAATATGAGCATAATGCACGTAACAATTCATCAATAAAATATAACATGTTACACATGTTTTATTCCTATCCTATGTAGGATGTAGTGTAATGAAAACCGTGCCTTACCGGCCGGTTTTACCGGAAAACCGGCGAACCGGACCCCTAACCAGTACGGCACGACTGTTGTACCGGACACACAAGAGAACCGATCAAAACCGGTTGAAAACAGGCCGGTTTGTATATATATTTTTTTTAAATTTCATCCCTAAAATCTGAAAATACACCGTCTCACATTTTAAATTTTAAATTTTTCACCAATTATTCAACTTTAAGGATTGATACTTGTATCATTCATTTGTATTTTACGTTTGTTAAGTGATAATTTTGGATTGATATATGTTTTACACTTTAGACTTTGATTTTGTTAAATACTTAATGTTGTTTGTTTGTGTGAAGTTGAAGTAGATTATGAATATGAATTATAAATCTGAATACCTACTTATTTGAATTTTGTTTGTTATAGGTTTACATATATATAAGGAGGTATATCCGGTTTAACCGGCATGCAGTTTAATTACTAAACTACCGGACCACTGTACCACTATACCAGTACCCTGACTGGTTTGATAACCGGTACGGTTTTAATAACATTGGTAGGATGCCACTACTTTACCTCAAAAGTGCTTATAACATTTCAAAAACAAACTGGCAGAAAATACTTAAGCTACAGTAACTTGTGGAACTTATGGCATTTATAGTTGCAGGATATGTTATTAATGGAAAAGATTAATAAGAAGCTAATCAATCAAAAACAAAGCTGGATGTTACAGTTTTCATTTTGGTGGTTTTAGATACAAATGGCTAATACAAGCTTTTACCATACTTGTACCAAAGAATAAGTAAGATGGCGCAACTTACAGCAGAGAAGAGAGTGTAGACAGCATTAAATTCTCTGCTTCAACCTTTTGATTACTCATTTCTAGATATTCAGTAAAACTTCAAGGATTCACACAAAATTTCCACTGACCAACTAAACTAACATCCTATAGGTAACCCATACACTCGGGCCGAGAATAGCAAAAACTTTCTCAATTCATATCTAACAACAGTACTAACCTTGTTTATTATCTGCTGTTATATACTTTGAAAGTATATGCATCTCTAGATTATTAGTTCATTGAAATCATGCTGCAAACAAAGCCTTTCAACAGTACTTTGGCTCAAAACCTCTTTTGAGTATAACTCATTCATAAGATCAGCGGCCATATCTATTTCGTCCTCAGAAGCAAGCCCTTCCACAAGAATGGTGTAGGTGGTCTCATTAGGCATGCATCCTTTATCAATCATTGTCTGAACTATCTCTATTGCAAACTCTGTACTTCCATATTTGCAAAATCCAAGAATAAGTGCATTATAGTTATCAATATCAGGCTTGTAATCATTTTCTTCCAAAACCCGGAAAATCTCGACAGCCCCATCTAACATTCCCTCCCGACATATCCCTCTTATCAAAGCTGAATAAGTATACGAATCTGGAGTAAATCCTAAGTTTATCATTTCATATAATAGCTGAAATGCTGGATATGTGTTGCCTTTTCTACACAAGCTTGTAATCACAACTTTGTAAAATTCACGCATAGTATATGAGTTCTGTTTATTACCCAACTTCTGGATTATAAAGATCGCCTCTTGCACCTTCCCTTCCACACATAACACAGCAATAGCATTGTATGTTCCTTCATTAGGCTTACAATGTCGAGAAATCATTTGGTCTAGCCACTTAACTACAAGATCCACTTTCCCTTCCTTGCAGCCACGGGCAATAATTGGATTATAGCTCGTAGCAGTTGCCTTGAATCCAGTCTTTGTCATTTCATCTAATACTTCCAGAGCATCTTCTGTTCTTCCATGGAGCGAGAGACAAGTAATTAATATGTTATACGTAACAACTGAGGGAGACTGGTTTGTTTCATAAATCTCCTCTAAAAGCTCATTTGCTTCATCCCACAGCCCTTCATAGCACAAATTCTTCAGTATAATGTTATAACTCACAACATTCGGGTCAAACCCCTTAGCCGGCATTTCCCTAAAAAGCTTAATAGCTTCATCAGTTCTACCTTCCTTGCACAAACCAGTTAACAAAACATTGTAACTGACTAAATTAGGCACCCCGCCATTAGCAATGATATCATCGAGAAGAGCCACAGCTTCATCCACTCCCCTTTCCTTATAAGCAGCTTCAAGCAAGAAAGAGTATGTGAATGCATTAGGGACTAGCCCCTTCTTCGTAAACCGATCCAAAAGCTGAATGCTCTGATCCAAATTTCCATGCATACAAAGCCCTTTAAGCAAACTGTTATAGGTGAAAGTATTGGTTGGAAAACCATTTTCCTCCATCATTTCAACCAATTGCATCCCAAAACCGACACTTCCTCTCTTGCACAAGTGATTAACCAAAGATGTATAACATGCTGCATCAGGCATAGCACCAGAACCTACCATCAACTCCATTACTTTAACAGCTTTCCTACTTTTTTTAGAATTGCAAAGATCATACAAAAGCTGAGTTGCTTGAGACACATGAGGCTTATGGCCTTTACCAACCATATATTCCAAATAGTGAAATGCTTCATTAAGTCTTATCTCCTTGCTCTTTCTCTCGTTTTTCCAAGTCACAGCCCTCCAATTGGGAAGTGTAAAAACAGAATCTTTTGATGAAATTGCAAACTGGGTGGATGCCAAAACACTAGGAAAACCATTGTTTAGGGAAAAAGCATGAAACTTTGGAACCTGGTGTAAACTATGATGCCCCTTTTGTTTTGTTTTTGCTGATAAACTTGCAGCTGAAGACATTGAATTCAACAGTGTTGCCATGACTGA